CCACGATTCATGACCGTAGGTAAGAATGGGGATAAAGATCGACTTGAATATTGAGAGCCTAGTTTTCAGAGACAGTTGGTTGACCACCTTTATTAAACATTCCGCGTGGCTAGATGGTACATTGTCTACAGCTATCCGTTGGCCTCGCAATGCTTGAATTGCATACGACCAGTCGTTTCAACCACCACTGATTGGCAGGTCCTATTGGAACTGTCATTACAATGGCTGCTTTGGCAATATTACGAGAAAATACAGACTGTTTCAAAAGGTACGTTAAGCAGTGTATTACTGGAGAGATATCGCAAATTTAACTTCGAGGATGTTCAACGAGGAGATTTTGCAGGGACAAAAAGAAGCTTTATTCAAGTTGAAGTGATCGCACAAGGCTGCCAGAACTTTCTAGATGTGCTTTCAGTAGTCACTGAAGTTTACATAATTTCGTACAAAAACAAAGAACAGATTTCAAGTTTCGCTTGTCATAAACATGCAGATATCACTATCGTTTTATTCTCACAAGCATAGTGCCGAGTAAAATCGCAGCACCCTCTTCTCAACGAAAGAATAACACCCCAAAATGTCATATTACGCAGTTTTATAACAATATGATATTGTCGGTTTAAAATGCCATTTCTCTTGTTTTTTGTGCTCAGGTAGTTGTAAATGCTATTTTTTTCAGAAAATGAAATTGCTACCTTTGCATCAATATTTAATGAACGCAGTATACTGTATTTGTCAGATGCAGTTTGCAGTGCTGCAAGAATCTTATCCCACGTGTTTGCTGACGTTGTGTTGTCTGCTTCCTCTGTCGTACATAATGTCAAGCGATGATTCTCTCTTAGGAGGACATTTTCTTTCTTTCAACTGAATTCGAGCAAATATAAAGGGAGATAGACGGCTCTCGGTCAATTTTCACGCTACAGGTGTTCCGTTGTCGCAGCTGACGGACGATCATGGTCCATAATCCCGCCTGCGATATCGGCGGGCGTTTTTTCTTTACTTCATGGCTTGTGGGCGTCGTGACTTTTTCTGCTATTTGCCTTGCCTTTGTTAGCCTTACCGCTCGTGCATTTGTTTTTTTCTGCCACCAGATTTGACAGCCGTTCTGCTGTTGTAGGGTACATTCACATTACCACCAGCTGCGGTACGACACAGCGATCTCCGGTACGTAAAATGTTTTCGTAAGTGTCGTGATGTAATCTGATGACGTAATCTGTCGTGGTGTTGTTATTGCATTCGACTCCACCATAGCCTGCTGTCGGGTGCTCGAGTTGAGTTGTACCTCATGTAAGCAGCTTTACGAATTGTACCGTATCGTCTTTTCGTCTAAACGTATGCTCAAAGAAACGAGGGAGATGCAGAGCTTCCAAGGATAATTTTGGCGTTCGTGGCTTCGGGTTGAAAATGCTCATAGCTTCAAGGTTTTGTTCGAATGCAGTTTCGTCATTTTGGAGGGGGCCATGCTCCGAGATGGCAAGAAACACAAGTTTGAATGCCGACTTACCGAGGATCAAGACACTTCGACGGCGGGGAGCATTCTTTGCGGAACTCCATAACTCGCCTGTAAAGTAGCAGGCATGGCAATGGATATCAGTTTTCCAGTGAATTAAGTCAGAGAAATTGCAGAAGGCTTGAATTGTAGCAAGACCACTGGGTTCATGTCATCTGCACTGCTGTGTTTAAAGCGTTACGTGATCAAGGTATGTTATGGCTAACACGTGTCTGTCAAACTGCAGTGACTACGCCTAAAACATTGCTGGACTGGGCAACTAGAGTGGTAGTGCCTCTGCTCAAGAACGGAGGCCATACGGAGGCTCAAATTTTCCGGGCATTTCCTTATTGAGTCTACATGCAAAGGTCTACGCAAAAGTACTAGAAAGGAGGTACCGCGGAATACTCGGCTCTAGGATACGTAAAGAGCAGTATGGCTTCAGGTCAGGACGAAGCACCTCTGACCATGTGTTCACACTACGTCAGTTTGCTTGAAAAATCATGCGAGTTCATACATCCGGTGTACATGTGCTTTGTTGACATAGAGAAACAATCTGTGGATGTATTTGGAAGTATATTAAATCTATGGCAGTTGGTACTAGGTGATGCTATCTAGTTACTGTGTCTTGATAGCTGATGCTGCGTCAGAGTAAATGGCGTTAAAGTCGAAATTTAAGTTGAAACCTTTCAACGTTGGCACTAGTCTCCGCCAAGGCTGCTTTCTGTCCCCTCTCCTGTTTGTATTGTTCGTTGACAGAATAGTCAGGCGGGGTCAGAGCGACAAGTGCATCAATGTGTGAGATGTGTAGACGAGAATGTTGCTCTTTGCAGACGACCTTATTTTGTTGGCATCATCTTAACGTCATTTACTCTGACACAGCACCTTCTATCAGCGTGTAGTGATTGGATGGCCTGTTGCAACACCACCGATCCCATATGTTCTTAGGCGTGCCCACAGATTGTTGCACTGGGTCCGGTCGTAATCTTTTTCAAAGTTCACAAAGCTGTGCAGATAACATGAGTGAACCCCCATGATTTTTGAACGATCTGGCGTAAGGGGAGATCTTGTCACAGGTGTTGTGGCGTGACCAGAAGCCACTCTGCTCCTCTTGTATTTTTGAGTTATTTATTCCACGGCAACTCTTTTCTAGAACCTTTGTGTGAGCTTTACCGGGGCAACTCCATAAATTAATGCCTCTATAATTTGAGCACTAGCTGTGGTCTAGTTCGACAGTCTATCGTTGTCATTGCAGTTTGACGATACGTTTTGTCCACAACCTGTCTTGTTCACCTAAAGCTTTAATCATCACCGGGCGGATTTGCTACATTTGAAGCCTTTTGCACCTTTTGTGACCTCATCCGCTGAAAGACTATTATCCCTTGCCTGCTGCACTAGTAAAGAGTACTCGCGCAATTGCTGTTGGTTAAGGTGTTTCTCATGGCGTTCTCTTCGTCGCCGAAGAATGTCCTTGTTCTCGGTAAGGAGGTGTCCAGACTTGTCCTTCAGAACTCTTGGACTACTCTGATTTGCGTCACTGAGGCGGCGGATGGTCTGTCAAAGTAACTGGTTCGCCATCTGGAAATTCTGCTGCAGCAGCCCACCGAATTCTTCCAGGAACTAGTCGTTGCTTTCGTCACCATTTTCGCCCCGCCTAGCCCTTTTTTGTATCCCATTTAAGTTGGAGGTTCTTTGCTTCCAAACGTCTCTTTAATACAGCCTTCTCTGTTACAGCAGTTGAAACGATCATGTCCGCCAAGAAGTTCGTTTCTGATCCTAAGGAGGCGGGACAACATGTTTTGAACCATAACATTCGGCGGAAGCCCTGAATAAACCGCTCTTGAAACGCTTCAACTTGCCGTCATTATTGAGATCTGTTCAAACTATGGTGCGATGTTGTTTGCAAGTCTTCCCTACATATCCGCACAACACAATAATAACAGTATTTCTCTGGTTGATTTTGTCTCCCGGTCTTCACACGGTATTCCTCTTTTCCAGTGGATGGTACCAGCAACATGATGATAATCGTTTTACAGCTCTGCGTTTCTCTCAACGCGGTCGTATGTTAGAAAGCGTTATAAGTCAGACGATACGATTATCAAATCGATCATCGACTTCTGTGCACAAATTTCCCAGTACCAGATATTCTGACGTACACTTCGATGCTTGAAGGTGTTCGTAAAACAGTCCGTTGTTTGCTCAAAACTGCAGCAGCATCATGCGGTTACTGTTGAGGTTGCTAGAGTCCTTTTTTCATGTCGCGTCTTTTCGCTTTTCATTGACTGTTCCGATATGTAGATTGAGACCGCTAATTAGAATGATGGATTCCATTGTAGACTGACGCCATTTTCTACTTCCTTCCGGAAGGACTGCTATTCTCATTCCAAACTTCTGCATGGACCGGCAACAAGGTTGAAACTTTAGTTATAACAGTCGGAGGATTGCCACTTTTCCATTTACAAGTTTCCATTCAATGATTCTATCAGCTAGGTTGGGGGTTCTTCCAGCTCGCTAACACCGGCTTGAGCGCGAGAGGTGATATCAACACCGCACTGATAATGGCATCGCTCTGTCTGCATCCTCCGTTCAGATCCGGTAGCGACTCCGTTGCAGACTGGCAATACTAATTGTCGTTTCGTCGATCTTCGGCAGCCGTTGCTATCCCCGGTTGCCAGAAGGCGTTGAGCAGGTTCTCATCGCGAAGTTTTCGCGATCGACTTGGTGTGACTTATGGTAACATTAGTACGATAAATGGCAGGTGGGTAAGTTTCACGGCAAACCTCACCACATTCGCCAGTGCTTTTTGTTTTTTATCTGAGTTTGAGGCCGTCGACGGCATAGTTTGTGTTTGTCGTTGCTCAATATTTCTGTGTGTGTGTGTGTGTATGTGTGTGTGTGTGTGTGCTATATACAAGTGACGCCTTTTTACAATATTTCGTGAAACGTGAGTAACAGCTTGTCCGTTTTAGCTTTATTTCAGTTTATTCGCGGTTGTAATCCTCGCCGCCACTGATGTATCGTCGCATGCGATCGTTCATGTTCGTTCCTGGCTGGCCATCCTGTATAAAAAGCCGGTTCGGTGTTCGTCGGAGGGCATTGTTGCTTTTCGGCAGCGTGTTCTTACTTAGCTTCGTAGTGATATTGTTCCTACTACCTGATGCTCGAACACGCGTTTTGCTGCATCGAAGTAAGCGTTGTGTTTCTGTCGGTATCCGTTTCGAATCGTTATTCATTACTTTCGACCTTTGCAGACACCTCGCTATTAGTTCTTAGACCAGAAGACTCCTTTGCAGCTAACGATGAGGAACAAGTCATCGAGCTACAGAAGGTCAAGACCGATGGCGACGAAGGTGGTGGCAACGGTCATGGTGTGAGTATTCTCCAGGCAAGAATCGACTTCTGCACCCAGGTACATGACGATGCAGAGCTTGAGGCTAACCGAGACGCTGTCGAATTCCGGTTGAACCGCTATAACTGCTCCGAGTATCGCAAAGAAGTAGTCAAAAAGGTAACAGCCATAATCATTGCTGATAACTATTGTTTTCTGTTCTTGAGGCAGTTTCATTACTAGAGATAAGAAGGTGAATCTTCTAACTCAGTGACTGAAGGCACAAATGGAGTCGAAAGTGTTTTTGTTAACATACTAGTGAATTTTTAAATATATTGTTCGTTGCCACGGCTAATGCCGAGGGCAAGCGGTGGATAAACACTAGAAGCTTCATCATATGATTGGATCGGTACAGTGGTAATCATATCAGATTTGGCTAAGAAAGTTTTGGTATGTGTTAAGCTTCGAAATTTTCCATTCCACTCCACACAAACGATTTTCTTTAAATTATAAAGTAACAGTTCTGTAGAAAGTTTGAAATACTAACTCGCAGGTTCGATCATACCATATAGTAATTTCTGCACCGTAGATGTATTACACGAACTTCTGTGGTGCACAATTCGTTTATACACTTTTGGACTACATCCACTACGCTCTTTGATCACGTACAATATTTTCTTCGACTGATCGCTCGCCCGGGATTTTTCGCGACCGAAGTGATCACAGTTGCGTCAATTCACATGCTGAACAGGCTGTTCCTCGTTCCTTGAGGATATCTGGCACTGCAAAATAAGAGCGTGCACTTTCTGTGGCAAAGCGATGGCCGGAAGCATGAGTACAACACGACTGGGAGGCGATGACACACTCAGCCGAGCACGTTTTTCCTAACTTATTTGTATTTAATAAGTATTTTATAAATGCTCTTTTCTGTTACGTTTTTCGCGCTGCCGTTCTAGCAGATTATTGCTTCTCGTGCTCCTTAAGCAAATTAAACTTTATATGATCGGTTAAGCGGACGTTATTCATGCGTGCAACGATTTGTTAATTGGGAGTCTGATCTTATCTTCAGTCAGTTAAAAATATTAATATTGGCATCAGCAAGTTCTATAAGAAATGGGCACCGAAACTAGAGTACGCAGGATGTTTATCTTCAGTGATGCACTTCTCTTCACTTATTTGAAATTCGAGTGTCCTGAATGTCTCCCCATTATAAATCCAACTGTATTTACTACAATTAATGGAATAAGCGGTATTTTATATAGCATGTATCTACGATGTTTATGAGGCTGCGCATAAAACCAAAGCACCTACTCCTCGTCGTATCACCTTTGTCGATCGTTATTCCGGCTCGCTCGTGGCGCAGATTGTTGGAGGACTGAGGCAGAC